GGTGACCATTGAATAAGTCTCTTCAGCTTGAGTTGGGTTAAAAGCACGGAATGTATTTGCACCGTCACCATCTTCGAATAAAGTATTTTCTACGGTAGCACCATGAATAGCGCATAGCAAAGCAGCACCCAATACGCCGACACCATGATAATATTAACAGTATGGTGGTGTATAGAAAATTCTTCAACTGCAAGAATTAGTATCTCGAGTGGCATCCTCCTGCATTGAATTGGATAATGCTCAACTCTAATGGGTATAGGCTTCAAAATCCAGGCCTATAGAGAATAGGAAGAAGTTTCAGAGATGGTTGAGGCTTCATTGTTGCTATTTACCAAGGCCTTATATATGGGGGACTCTACAAGGGCGGAATTACATGCTGTCCTGTAAGGATTGAAGATTGGAAAGAGGCTGAAAACGCAAAATGTAATGATTGAAGGGGATTCAAAAACATTAGTGAGTGGCTAACGTATGACAGTGGCGGAACATGGCAATAGAGGAACACTATGAGGGAAACCAAGCAACTTGCTAGGGACCTCGTAGTCGCCTGGAATTGGATTCAAATATCACCCAACAGGTTAACTGACTCATAAGAGAAGGGGTAAACAGGGACCAGTTCTACCAGAGGGTAACAAACTACTGTGGCATATAAATATAATGTGGGGCTAGGTAAGCTAGATTAACCGAAGACATGCATATGCCCGGTACTACATGTAGCATTCATTAATCAACAAATTTCATTTTTACCTATAAAAAAAGCGCTCAAGTCATCCCCTTTTCAACCTTTCACTAGCTCCCCTCAGTGTTTCTTTTTTATTTTTCTTTGCATCTTTCTCTGTCCTTGGTGCTTCTCATATCACTATATTTTTCTTCAATCCATGTCACTTGTTTCTTACTATCTTCTTCAAGAAGATTGTAGACCTTCTCATGGATCTCCTGCTTGTGTAAGAGGCTGCCTTGGTTCTACCAACTTCCCTGTTTTCCAACCTTGTCCCCATGCTTAATCCATTTGCATTCCATAATCAGCCTTTTCCTCTATTTCTTGTCAGCATAAATATTGCCTTGATGGAGTTCTGGGATGGGACTCCAAACTGATGGTTGAATGGATGTAAAGAAACAATTCGGTGATTTGGATCCATAGAAAAGCCATGAAGGAGGTGAGATGTTTATCAAGGGAAAATGGGGTCAGCTTCAGACAAGTTGGAAGATGAGCAAATGGTTTGGCCGATAGTTTAGCCAAACAAGGGATTAATGGTGTGCAATTATTTTGGGCAACATCACCCCTTTTAGTGGGATGTTTGGCATACTATATTCATTTTTAAATACTGAATAAAAGTTATGGTTTCTGGCATTACTTTCAGGACCAATTGGTATGGGAAACTCCTTGAATGCTGAACTGGCTATATTGGAAGGCCTCAGATTAGCCAAACAATTGGGCTTCAGGTTGGTTGAGGTAGAAGGGATTCAAAAGTAGTTATTTCATGGGCAAATGCCAACAGGCATGGGGGCTGAGTTTAAGTAGAAGTGTAAAACGGGCCGTGTTGGCGCCTGCGGCCTGTGCAAAGTGCAAGTTGTGCCGTCAGTCCGCAGGCCATCCTGGGCCGTGCTGCCCTCCCCAAGGATAATTTGGGGGGTCAGCACTATAGTTATAAATTGAAAATAAAAAATTATGTTATTAGAAAAATATCAAATAAATTAAATAAAATTAAAACAAAATTTACAATAATTTGAAAAA